TCTTCAGCCAGAGGGCGAAGTCCAGGCCGCTTTCCCAGCCCAGCCTGCCCAGTCCCTGCGCGCTGCTTGACCTCTCGGAACCTCTGTCTCTTGGGGCAGGTGCCCCCTCAGAGGCAGCAAGAGGCAGTGTGGGGCTCAGCATGGTGGGTGTTGGTGTGGCCACCACATAGCGACCTGTGCATGGTGGGGAAAGTGAAAGCGATCCGCTCTCCGTGTGGCCATGGCAGACAGTGAGGTGGCAGGTGGGCCTGCTCCCGCCTGTGTGCTGGGCATAGACCTGGGCACGACGTCGGTTAAGGCAGCCCTGTTGGTGGGGACAGAGCGAGGGCAGGTGGTGGCAGGGAGCTGCTCCAGGGAGACGCAGGCACACACCGCTAGCCTGGAAGCTGGACCACAGGTAAGGGGTGGCAGATGATAGCACTGCTGGTAATTAAAGGATACTGGCCTTGCTTTGTTGCAGCCTCGTTGTCTCACTACTTTATGCGGACTTAAGTGGCTTTCCTGGCCTAGAATGATGGAGATGGCTGCTGCATGTGTCCGAATGTCTGAAAGTAAAATTAAAATGTTGTTTGCTGTTCAAGAAAGTTGTGTAAAGCTACTTGTTTTAAGAAAGACCCAGGTTTTGAAAAGTTGCATAAGACAGTCTAAAACTATTGTCCTGTGAACCATCACCTTGTCTTTGAGGCTTCCAGTCAGGAAATAGCAGCTGCTTGCCAATGGGAAGGGTATTTTGCACTTTAACATGAGATGAATTATAACTGGAAATTCCCCCTGAAAATAACTGGAAACATGTACTCCTGTTAAAGATCTTTACATCCATTGTGTTGGTCAATCTAAGAAAGGATGAATCAGAATCACAAAAAACATGTATTGGCATTCCTCTGGCCTAGTATTGTAGTGAGTCCAGGAGCTAATTTCTGGGCAAAGACACCAAGCAAGCTAACCCTACTCCCCACTGTCATGTTTATGCAGCCAAAAGTATATATGCACAGAGTTGTTCACATTTATGCATAGACTATATTTTAATACTTTTGTTTGTAGTCTTCACACTGGTCTGTCACAATCTGAATGTTCGAAAAATGTGAAAGCTGGAATACAGCTTCTCTTATGGCGCAGTTTGGTCAGTTTGCTGAGTAGATCAGTTTGCTGGGTAGTTCTAGGTATACAATATCCAGAAACGAAGTATCATAATCATTAGGATCCACAGTGAATAGATACTGAGGAGTTCTAGGAAGATGTAAGGGAGACTGCATGCAAGTCAGAATACAGACAATCCTCTTGGTGAGGAAAAATAGAGCAATATATAAGGTGAACTAATAAAAGCATGTAGTGAGTGTTAATGGATTTATTTTTTTTAAACATGTGGTTAGGTATGGTAACTTAGGAAATTAAGAATTATTTGGCTGTTGTTTAAGAGGCTGTTCTATAATTCTCAACTTGCTAGTATTTGTTTTTAGTTTTTGTGGGTTTGTGAATTTTTTTGTGTTTTTTACTTAAGTAGTGAATGTTATTCTAATACATGCTATTAAGCTAAATGAATTCTGTTCTTCACTTCTGGGTGGAGTAGCCTTGTTTAATAAATACACTGAGTGAATCCTAATGGTTCCATGCTCAGAATAATGCTTTATGATTGCAGGGAATGGAGCAGAATGTCTGGAGAATACTAAGAGCGTTGAATGAATGCCTTGCTGCTCTACCTCAGCAGCAACTTCAAAGAGTCAGTCACATTGGCATTTCAGGACAAATGCATGGGATTGTATTTTGGAAAAAAGATAAAGGTAACATTAATTCTGTTTGGAGTATTATGATGCAGAAAATAAAATTTTAACACTGAAATTATCATGGTGTTTACACAGATTAGTTAAAGGATTCAGTCAAGATCCCTGCAGAGTCAGCACAATTATTAATATGAAGGAGTAATAACAGATTTGTGGCTTGCTATTGTTTGTCCATCATGTGCTATCTGTTGCCAGTTGAAAGAACTTCTGAATCACGTGAATGGTTTTTGTGGAGGGGGATGTTTTTCACATCATAAAACACTGTTGCTAGTATCTCAATACCATCTAATGAATCCACGGTAGCAGTATTAACAGTTTTGTGTATACCTGGAAAAATAAGTTCTGCTTGATCTTTATGTTCAAATATGCATAGCAGTAGCTATCCAACACTGAATATCACTATGCTCATTTGAAATGCCATTTGAAAGCACAGTAGGAGAAAAATTGATGTTTTCAGTCCCTTTTTTTTTTTTTTCTCCCTCCCCCTCAAAAATATCAAGGGATATTTTCCTATCAAGTTGTAGACTGTCATGTTGCATTCATCTTGCTGCCAATGTTTCTATTAGTAGGAACTGAAAAAGGATTATGGTCATGATTCTGAATACTCACCTGCTTGTGGAATGAAGGGCCAGGACCTCAAAAAACAAAATCAGCCACAGTGAGGTAGTCACATAGGGCTTGATTGTGCAAATACTCAAATAATTGTGACAGCAAGGAGGTTTGAAAAATTCAGGCCTTGGATTGCCAGCCCAGTGAGATAGCAATGGATTATCTTCTTGGCTAACATGTTAAAACCTACTGAAGTCCAAGGCTTTCAGAATGTGGTTTCCTGTCTTTTTTTTCCTCTTTACCTTATGATGTGCACATCTGAGCAGTTATGTAAGTCTTATAATAATAAGAGTTATGCAGATTAAGGAAAGATTTATTGTAAACCACAGAATAGATTTCCCCAAAGTACTAGTTGCTGCCTGTTAAAAGTTGTCAGGGTCTTAATTGCTTTAAGAGACACTATGCTATTCATTACTGGCTGTAATTCTACGTTAATACTAAAATGATTAGAAAGAAAGAAATCCAAAGGCTGATGGACTGAAGGAGCTGTTGCTTGCTTTCTGGTTGTCTCAAGGGTTGCATAACAAAGCCTTATGGGTTCATGATAGATGTAGATTCTTTTGTCATATTGGTTAATATTTTATCTCCTAAAGCCACATGCCACTTTTGTTTCATTTCTGTCAAATGAAAGAGAGTGTTTGCTCTTATTTGTTTTAAGTAGACTAAGTGAATCCATGCACTGTGGGACACAAAGTACATCTTTAATAGCATCCTTTAGGGTTAGATTGATGGTTAATAATATTTCTTAGAATCCATTTAAAACTAGAAAAGCAAACCAGTTGGAAATTCATTTCAAACAGACTTGATAGAACAGGGAATTAAGGGAACAAGAAAAAGTATGTGTTGTACTTCCCAGCTTTCACAGCTGCTTTTGACTGTGTTAATGTAACTTCAAATCCCTGTGTCCAGCCCAAAAAAGACTTTTAGCCCTATTTGTGCTACTCACATAAGCAACCGGGTCTCTTCTCTGACCTGTAGTACAAGTGCCACAGCACAGCTTGAAATTCTGCTCCCATCCCCAGCCAGAAACCATGAGGTTGCCTCAGTTACAGAGCCGGCTGGAGACAGTGTGTGGCCTGTCCTATCCCCACATTGTGGCCAGGCATCACCTGCGGGAGCAGTGGTTGTCCGAAGCCGAAGCTGTGCCAGCAAACATCACATGCCAGTGCTTGAGCTCAGCCTCTGCTTAACCTGTGTCTCTGTCGGGGCCGTATGCTGCCTTTGCAGGACTGCTCGTGGTGAGCGTGTCAGGGCAGGAAATAGCACACTGCACTGGAGCAATAGCAGCCATTGCTGAGAAGGCTCTGTGCACCTGTGAGAAGTTGTCATAATTTAGCTGAGCCCTTCACATGGAAGAATGTGAAGGTTCCATCAAAGGTGTAGTTTTTTCTGTTCAAAAGGAATGCGCTAGACTGGTAAAACTGAACACTGAGTTAAACTGTATTCTGTCTTTGATGAAGCTTTCTTCTGTAGCATAGGCGAGAGATACTCTTTAGTACTTTGCAGTCCATTGCTTAATACATATCAATCCAGGTTTCTTGTTGCTTTGGCTGAACAGATGAAGCTACATGCTATCCGTCATAGGCAGTTCGTTACAGTGTTCTCTAAGTCATGATGGGGCAGATCCCAGCTAAGGTTTATATGTGAGAGCTGTCAGGTCAGCTCATTACTTCCCATTGCAGAACTGGGATTTTTTTTTTTTTTTCTTTGTGGATCACCTGTCATTTAAGTTGTATCATTAATATCTCAAGGTACAGGTTGCTTGTTCCTCAGTGGAGTGCTTATAGGGAAGGAAGGCTCTGGATCCAATTCTCTGCTTTATCAAAGGATGAATGGCATTATCATGTTATCTCAGGCTGAAAACTGTGACTAACTGATTGCAATCACTACTGCCTCTGTTTCTGCTCTTTTTCCAATATATTTGACAAATTATTGAGAGTGTCCAGAAGTGAAGAATGCCAGGCAGACTGCACTGCAGTGAGTCGCTGGCCTTCTTGGATACTACGTGTTTCAGGTTGCAAGTGGACAGAGTGTGGTACAGGCCCTGCCTTTGAGCCGGAGGAAGTCAGTCATCTAATTACTTGGCAAGACGGCCGCTGCAGTCCCACCTTCCTTTCTTCCCTTCCTCTCCCACAGTCGCATATCAGCTTGTCTACAGGATTTGGATGTGCCACAGTCTACTGGTATTTGAAGAAGAGGTACGTTGTTTCTCAAAAGGGCTTCTGTATCACATAGTTTCACTGGCAGTTTCTCGTCTTGAATTTAGGTGTCGGTATTCCTGTAGCATGTTAATGCCACTACAGGTTGAAGGGCTGCATTTCTCTGTAATCATAATATTAAATACGTAGTCAAAGAATATTTAAAATGGCAGTATTCAATGTAAACTGTACGCAACTGAGCACACAAGAGTCTCTGACCTCATAAAAATACTACAGATCTCTTTAAAAAACAGAAAAGCCTTTGACCATATAGTAACAGAAGCCTTAAAGTGTCATAGGATAATGCTAGTCCATGCTACTGCTCAGAGGAGCTCTGCTAATGCAGTTTGAACACTATAATTTTGCCTTGTACAGACTGTGAAAGTACAAACATGCCTGAAAGAGTATCAGAGTGGCTTTGTCTGTTTGCTGCCAGATGCTAAAACGGTTCCTAAATTAATTAATTTCCGTTCCTTCCTTCCTTAGACACTGAGATCCTTATGAGGTGTTAGGAGTGGTCTGCTTTGTTGTGGCATGTTTGCAGAGGATATCATTTTTCACTTATGACTTAGCATCAGCAAGATTTGCTCTTCAGTTTCGTCTGCAGTATGCTGTTTCTCAAAGATCCAGTGTCTTCCTCTGCAATTAGTTTGGGTTCAATAAATGGGGAAAAACACAGTAGATCCAGTTTGTGTCCAACAAGTATATGGAACATGGCATAATCTAAGCAAGAGCTGTGTAACTCATGAGTCTAGCTGCTTTGTTTTGTTTCATTTCTGTTTTGTTTCACCATTTGTTGCATTTCCATTCATATAATTTGTGGTCCTAGAGCAATTGCAGCAATTTACCTATTTTTCTCAAATGCTCCAGGATCAGTAAAGTGACCTTTTTTTGTGCAAACAATTACTACCTTCCTGGCGGGTTTTGCAGTGGTTTGCTTTTGAACCTAAACAACTCATTCCTTAAAGCTGCTGTCTCTCCATCTTCCATCAGGAGATAAGTATTGCTGCTGTAGTAGCAGCTTGGAAAACAAATTCCATTTTAAAAAAACCCCAAAACAGACCAAATCAAACCAACAAAATGCAGGTTGATTGCTGAGATGGCTGTTTCGTTTTTAGATGGGACCACACATGTCTGAAGTTCCCTGTAGCAGTGAAAGTAATCTTGCTCCCACTGCCTTAAAGCACCTCTCATTGTTTTTGTTTTTAAAATGTTTTGTTTAAAAGTCCAGATTTTCTGAAGTCTTATGATGCAGCTGGCACTATCCATGACTATGTGGTTGCCATGTTGTGTGACCTGAAGAAGCCACTCATGTCCATCCAGAATGCTGCCAGCTGGGGATATTTTAATTCCAGAAACAAAAGCTGGAATACTGACATGTAAGTGCTAAGGTCCTTCAGTGGGTTTTGTGCATTGCTTGTGTCTTATAGGAAAGTAGGTTGTTTATTTACTTATTTATTTTAATGATTTGCTCTTTCAGGGCTGAGTGCTAAGGCCTTATATATTTCAGGGTTTAGGTTAGGCCAGGACTCCAAAGGTGAAAAGATCTACTCATGAAGGTATGAAAGAATGTCAGGAACTTGCATTTGGCCTACTGAACTTTTACTAATCTGATGGTGTTGCTGTAGCAATGTAGTGTATTTTGCAGTTGATTGTGTAAGGAGTTTGTTGGACTTAACTCTTTGTGATTTGGTTTTGAACCACTAACTGCATGGCAGCTTAAATTTCTTTGCCACTTAGAAGTTGCTTTTTTTTTTTTTTCTGTTTCTGTCCTTTTACCCTGGAGCTGCTTGTCTGTATGACATCAGTAGGTTAAAGTTGCTGAACATGCACTGCTGTATAATCTCAGGTAATCAGATTGCAAAGAAAGGAACGCTATTTATTCTAGACTATTCTGGTTTACCCAGCCCATTGAACTGGAATGCTGCCCCTGTCCAAGACAAAGCTTCCTAAATAGGTGAAAGCATCCATAAATCTAGCAGCCACAAATGCATGGCCAGGTTAATCTATGATTTCAAAGAGGTCTTTGTAGTCATGCCACACGTTCCCATACTGCTTTCTTGCAATGACATTGTTCTGATTGCAGATTGCAAAAGTCCGGCTTTCCTGTTCACTTGCTTCCAGAGGTGGGAGACCCTGGCAGTATTGCAGGCAGGACAATCTGTGCATGGCATGGAATACCCAAAGGAGCAAAAGTAGGAGTTGCTCTGGGAGATTTCCAGTGCTCTGTTTATTCCTGTCTGACTGAGAGGACTGATGCAGGTATGATCACTTTGGTGTCTTATTTGGTGTTCTCATTGTCCTCCTTCAGGGTAGCCTAGTAAAGCACTGATTTTTTTTTTCTTTTTTTTTTTTTTCCTTTTGTATTCTAGTTCTTAATATCAGTACCTCTGCTCAACTGACTGTCTCAATGCCTCTGGATTTCCAGCCTCCAGAGACACCAGATCCTTCCTCAGCAGTTACTTATTTTCCCTACTTCAATGGTGACTACTTGGCAGTGGCAGCATCACTTAATGGAGGCAATGTGCTAGCAACGTTTGTGGACATGGTGGCACGGTGGACAGAAGAGCTAGGTAAGCTATTCAAGGATAGTGAGAGCTTAAAATTGAGGTTGATCAGCAGGTAGAAGGAAGCTAAGGCAAAGCAACAAGTCTGGAGCTGTTTGTCATGCCATAAGGAACAAGGATGTAACTCTTGGGTAATGCTTCCTTTTTCTGCTGAAGCTTGTGAACATGCTGGGATAGTCATGCTTGGACTCCACGTTCACATTGCCTCTAGGCTTTGGATTTTCTTTGTTTCACAAATACAAGAGAATGATTTTTTGCAACTTGTTTTTCAAAAGGAAAGGTCAGCAAGTTTGAGTACAGTGTCTAATTTTGTATGACTGCAGTCTGAAAGAGTCCCTTGATTATATCAGTTGCCTTTTGCTTTGTGTTTTGCAGCACTCTAATGGATTTCAAGACTCAAACTCATGTAATATCTTCTAAGTGCTTTAAATATCATCTTTACAGTTTTTTTTTAATAATCTCTTGGGTTTTACAATATAGAAATAAGTTCTGAAATTGTTCTTTCAGTGAATGCTTGAGGTGAACTCTGCATTCACATGCAATCAAGCCACTGAAACTGAAGTCTGACATTAGTGTCTTTAAAGATGTTGGTTGGTGTAACTGAGCACAGTATAAGCAAAGAGGAATAGCTGTATTATCATAAAAGGCTTTTTTTGTAATCGGAAAAATATTTCCAGTGTCACAGATACTAGATACCCTTGGATGGGAGACCTGTGTTTCCTAATCCTGGAAGACAATTACCTTTGGGACAGGGAAAAAGATATACCATATTTTGCTAAACAGGTGGATCAGCGTCCATTTTAAGTCTCCACATGTAAGATACACTAAACCCCTTCAGATTAGTAACATGATATTTCCCATCTGCAGGACTTCAGGTTGAGGAGTCTGCCATCTATGCAAAGATAATCAAGGCAGCCTTGTCCCAAAACAACAGCAAACTCTCAGTCCACCCAACCATATTTGGAGAAAGACACGTTCCTGAACAGTTGGCATCAGTGACCAATATTGCTGCCTCTGGCCTCTCCCTGGGTCACGTAACCAGAGCTCTGTGCCGTGGCATCGTTGAAAACCTCTGTTCCATGTTACCTGTGCAGCGCCTGCTGGAGATGGGAGTGAGGAGGATTCTGGGGAGCGGGAGTGCCCTTACCAGGAACGAGGTGCTGAGGCAGGAAGTGGAAAGGATTTTTCCATTCCCTGTGGTTTATGGGAAGGATGTTGATGCTGCTGTGGGGGCTGCCATGGTGATGTTACACAGAAAATAAAGGAATTGTTTGGAATGGCCTAAGATGCAGCTTCTGGGTTCTGGGGTTTTCTCCTGGCTGTACAGTGTTTCCTTTCCTTCTTTCACTTTTTCTGGAGTTGTATTCAACATGCCATTTCACTCATTACAGTGGGAAAAAAAAAAAAAAGCTTGCATTTAATGTCCACTTTTGCTTCTGGGTGCACACACTTCATTGCTCTGTCATTCCCATTTGTGAAATGAGAAGTAATTATCACATTAAATTTGACTGAGTGACTAGGAAAGATCCATTAACTTTCTGCATAAAATGATACTTCGTGCAAGGCTCATTTTCCTGGTATTAAATATGTTTAAAAGGACTAAGAGAGAGCAGCTGTCTGTAACTTAGTCTGATGCTTTAATTAGAGACTTGTCCTTAAGCTGTCTCACAATATACGTACATATGGGCAGCAGACCAGGATGTCAGCCTCCTTTGGGGAGTTCAGTGGCTCTTGCACAGAATGGCAGTTTTCACAAGTTGCATGTTGTCTCTGTAAAAGATGGAATACAGCCCTGGCTTGAACATTAAAAAAAACAATCAAAATAAAACATGGAGGATTATTTTGGTGGTTACCCAGGTTGGGTGCAGTGGATTAAGGTCAAAGGCATGGCTAGGCCAGTACCATGACTGGAGATACTTGAAATGCAGGGCATATATCTGAGTGGAAAGTACATTTATAGGGTTGGAGGTAACTGTTTTCCTTATTTGGTGTACATAATTATTTTGCATTTGTTTTTTGGGTGTTAAAGTGGATTAGGGCCTCCCTGAAACACTCAGAATTTGTGATAAACTGGAGCAGCTGGCAAACTCAGAGTTACAAAAGTCCAATTCTCAGCTCTTTCAGCTTTGGTTTCCCTTTTAAGCCCAAACACAATTAACATTTTGAGAGATCGTCCACAAAAATGTGTTCTTGTAATATAGTGTACAGCTGTTTTAGTGTATTTGATCCAAAGGTGTTTCTGATTCTGCCCTTCATATATTGTGTCAAATTGAGCTGTAATATGGTAGCTGCCAGGCTAGACTCTAGTCTGTTTTTAATGTTAAGTATTGTTTATGCAAATTCCCTTAAAACTTCCAAGTTTTTGCCCTGTGTTATACTCTTAAAATTTATTTCTCCCCCTAATCTTTATTTTGATGTGAAAACATTTATGCTTTATCTGTCTAAAACAAGATGGATGTGCACCTTTTTTGCTCAAATGAGATCAGGAAGCAAATAAGATAGTTTCATGTAATCTAGATAAAATTTCATTACTGAGAAGCATGTATTTCGACTGGAATATGGAAATGTATTCCTATCTTGCACATTAGCGACATCAGGACTGACTCATTTTTGTATTGAGAACGCTGTTGTGAGTTCTGGAATCTTAATTACAGTGATGGATTAATTTCCATATCCCTCCACCCTCCCTCTGTGCATCTACTCTATGCTGGGTTTAGGAATATATAGGAATTACAGAGAAAGTGTAGACTAGATTAATGTTTTCTTAAAAAGTCTGAATTTATTATCTTTTTTTATTTATTATATTTTTCCCTTTTATGTTATTATAAAATATTTTTATATCAGCAGATTTGCTTTCATTTTTGTTGAATAACTGGAAAGAGGTGATAATACTACTTCAGCATGTTGTTAACCATGAAATCAAGTGGTATTTGTTTACAGAAGCTGGTAAAAATTGTGGCCTGGTTTTCAGTTCTACTAGTGAAGGCAAGAGTATCTCTGACCTGCAGGCCAGCTTTGGATACATCATTAAGATCTCTAGCACATTTGTTGATTTTCCATTTGCAGTGATGGAGAAGGCTCTTAGTCAGTAAAATCACTCTCAAGCACAGAAGTTGCACAAAACCTATGCAGCATGTTGGATGCAGGCCCAAGAAAAAGGAATAAATTCCTTCTTGTTTATTACTGGCCTATTTTGAGAAGCATTCACATCTTCTTGTGAGCTTACACCTTTAAAACAGGTCCCTGCTGAGATGGAATATGATATGTCCTGCAATTGTTGCAAAAAGCAATGGAGTGCTGCTGGTAAGAAGGAAATAACATCACGAGAAATACAGGTCAAGGAGGCTGATGAAGGAGGCATCAAAACTCAAAAAATAGCAGAAAGCTTCTGAAGTGTGTACATCAGAGCACAGTGAGAGTGAAAGGAGCTGATGCTTGGAATGAGAGAAGAGCGAGAAGGAGCATTTAGCAAAGGGGACCAGCAAGAAGCTAGAGACCCTCCACTGATCCGTGTAGTTTTCTTACTGAGTCTCTGCCCTGGAAATGGTGAAGGAGTGAATGGTAATGTTGAATGAGATGCTCTGCTCAGCAAAGCTCCAGGAGCACCAGCTGAGGACCTGGCCTACTGGTAATCTATACTTATGCATTAATAAATAGGCATTTTCTTTCTTTTGAGTACAATCCCATAGGGTATTTTAAGTAGTATAATTAGTTTGCTATTAAATAGGCAAATATTTTAGACATAGATAGATAGATAGATGGCAAGACTAGAAAGATAGTTACCTTTTGCAAAACATAAACCAGATAATTTCGTTGAATAATTTCTTAATCTACTCAAAACCTCAGGAGCCAGAGGTTTGGAAGTTGCTTCTAGCTTAACAGCTCCAGCCTATCCACTCAGCCTGCTGGAAAAGCTGTTTCTCTAGACTAGTTTTCAGCAGAAAGATCCATCTAACCCATCCTGGATTAGATAGGGATTTTTTTTCCCTAATGACATTAATATTTAAAAGCCAACTGTTACACATGTATATATTATTTAAGTAAAACATAGTAGGAACATGGCACAATAGAATGGCCTTGGGACTTTTTGTCATTGGTTCTCTCCCTCAACTCTGTTCAGAATCAATTTATCTTTAAAATACTTGGTGGGGCTTTACTGCAGCCACCCAAGAAAGATGTCCAGAAAGATGACTGATCTCAGAGAAGAGCTGTGGCATATTTTACAAAGTTTTGTAAATTGAAATGAAACTGTGGCCCACAGAAACAGTTGTTGTCTGGTGGTTTGGGTTTTTTTGCGAGCTTGAATATATTTTTGAAGAGGAAATCTGGAGAAGAGTGTCCATTACTAAATGCAATTAAGGGGAGGGGAAAACAACAGCAACTTACAGCAATTCTTGTAAATAGCTTTGCTAAGCTCCTGGGAATAGAAGCGACTGATGCTTCTGGTTCCAGAATTGTTCTTAATGATCTCATTGTTCTATTCTCTGTTCTTCTAGTGAACTTCCCTTGATTGTAAAAATCATCAGACACAGAGAACACTTTTGCAGACAGATGAAGTGGAGAAGCAAACTCTGAGGACTTTTCAGTCCAGGCACCTTGGAGGAGGAGTATCTGGCACCAAATTCCTATAGATCGGAGGGTGTTTACTGAGATTGGACTGTTTTGCAGAAGACAGGATTTTTTGCTATATTTGTAAGCTCTGCAGGTACATTTGAATAGCATGGTTGTTCATTATTTGTAAACTCTCTTTATTATGAAGTTGTGATCTGGTTAGATATTTTATCAAAAATATTTATTGATCTCATTATTGTGTCAAACTTCAGTGCACATAGGTTTCAAAGAACTCAAGTTGGTTATGCTTTTTTTTTTTTGATGGTTAATGTTTGTTTCTTTGTTTTTAAAGAATCCACAGAATTTTGAAGGTTATTTCCCTTGAAAATTGATAGTCATGAGGAGGTGCACCTTTGCTTTCATTATCAAAGATATTACCAACAGAGTTTAGAAATGAAAGCACATATAATGACTAAAACAGGTTTGAGCAAATTGCCAAGGAGAGAGGATTGAGTCTATTCTGCAGATTTTAGTATTGCACCTATTCTATGGAAAAAAAGTTATTCCATTTTCTATAGTAATCTCTCTGATGTTTTTGGCTCAATCCACATTAGTTTAAATCAGAAAAAAAAATTATACGTAGCTGTATCCTAATGTATTGTTTTCCATTTTTTATAAAACTATTTTTATAACTTTTTCACTGAAGTAATTGTTCTTCTATATTTTTAGTATCATATTCCAAATGGAAATATTTTTCTGTATGTAATTTATTATTTATAGAAAAATTAAGTTTTTAGTAAGATGTTATGCTATTCTTTCCGAGTGATTCTAAGGACACAAAGAACTTGAAAGGTGAGTTCAGAGGACATAGTCATTACTATTTCATCTATACGACACTGTTTTTCTTCCCATACCCCTAAATGTGCAAGTTTGCAAACTGATGTTTTTCTTTACATGTATGTTGTACAAAATTATAGAAAATGCAAATGCTCGACATGTTTCTTTCCTGTTGTACTTGCACAGTACAATGTAAGTGACCCTTAATGTAAATATTAACTGGTCTCATAGAACTGAAAATCTAGCTTTAATGTACAGTGTAGGTTTGCAGACAACCCTGCAGAATATTTTTGTGAATAGAAACAACCTTGAAAAGTGATCATGATGTTGTTTTCACACTGAATGCACAGAGAAGATTACTGACCACTGTAATTTGGTTTATAATTGAAGGCTTTTTAAAGATTTTGTAACACTCCTGTGCTCAAAGCCTTAAGATTTCTAAGCAATTTATGATTTCAGGGTATGTTTCTCTCTCTAAAAGCCAGCTATGTAGCAGTTCAAATATGATGCATTCCTGTCTCCACTTCTGGAGTTCCAGAATATTTTGCATTCAGTGGCATGAAGACCAACGTTTGCCTGAAAGAAAGAAAAAAAAGCCTACTCTACTTTCAGTATAGTATATTTTTTAACTTGTGCAGAATTCTTTGTGGTTGTAAATCAGACAAGATTAGATGTGCGGTCTCAGTCATCTCTTATCTGTGGTAACCTTTCCCTTTCTGTTTCCGTGTCTCATGTTTGAGGTGACACTAATCTCCCAAGAATCACATGCCTCAGTTTCCCTGTAGCACTGCCATAACTCTGGTAAAGCCATTAAGTGATAACTTTGCTATATGCAGAAAGCCCTCTGTTGCTCAGCATCATTGAGATACAGTTATGGCACAAGCAGGATTTTTTCAC